TTTAGTAGTAATAGAAAATCAATCAACGTTTAAAATATTTTTGACTTTTTGAGACAGAAAAATCATCGCGAAAAATTTCTGACGTAAAAAATATACATATACAGTAGATAAGAATTATTTTATTTTACTAGACGATAAAAGACTATTTTATCTACTGAAATTAGTTGATAAAAGCACTTTTTAACATTTTGGTTAAATATTTGGAAACTTTTCTCTCCATAACCTACTAGATAGTTCTTTTAAATGTAATGAGTTCACAAAAATAAGATTAAAATTAAGTGTTTTTTTCTTATTTTACATATTAAACTTTTTTGATGAAATTATTAATTTAATATGATAAAATTATTCAATATGTTTAAAAAAGTGTAACCTCGTAATACAAAAACTTTATTAAAAGTTTTTTTAAGATTTTCGTAAAGAAATAATAAGCTGAGACACCCTGTATAGAAAGATAACTGCCAAATTCTTGAGACTATGAATATGACAAAAAGTTTTTAAATATTAATAATTTGTTTTTTTTTTATTTAATTTTAAATTTACTGTTTTTTTTAGTCGAAAATAAAAATTTGATTTGATAAAATTATTCGTCTTATTTCTACATGAAGTCTAACTTTGCAACAAAAAAATTACTAAAATTTTTAACGTTTTAATAAAGAATTAAATACAGTAAAATTTTTGAGACCGTATTTAAATGGAAAAAAAGTTTTTTAAATATTGAAAAATTTTGGTTTCATTTAACTGATTTTTATTGTCTTTGTAATTTACTTTCTGTTGACTTGGCCATCATCTCTTTTTAGGTTAATTTTTGTATATTTTTCAGTCTTCAAAATTTATTATTTTTACCCATCTATATTTTAAGTGATTTTATGTGACAGCTCCTGTTTACAAACATTGCCTTTCCAGAGCTCCACCCCCAAGTGACCAGCTCGAAGACCGAGCTGCGGAAGTCCGGCAGACAGCGTTCGAAACGCAAACCCCGAGTCCTCTTCTCCCAGGCCCAAGTGTACGAATTGGAGCGCCGATTCAAGCAGCAGAAGTACCTGTCGGCCCCCGAGCGCGAGCAGATGGCACAAGGCCTGAAACTGACACCCACCCAAGTGAAGATTTGGTTCCAAAACCGGAGATACAAGAGCAAAAGGCAGACCATCGCCAAACACGACGACAAACTCCAAGTCGGACCCAACGTCACCGCCACCCCCTTGGGGTTCTGCAGCTCGACGCCTTGCGTCTTCCCCAACAACATCTACCATCCTTCGGAATACAATTGCAACGAACTGAGTTTTGTGTGATTGAAGATTCGACAAGGAACAAGTGCCAAAAATGTCCAAAGAGAAAGTATTAAAGTTTATTTAGGGGTAGTTTTTATATCGAGCGAGTGTTATTTTTATTATTATTATTATTATTATATATTTTTTGTAATTAAGTTTTATGTCTCATTTTAGTTAACAATAAATGCAGTTTTTAAATTTGATTGATGGTTTTTATTTTATTTTTTTTGAGAGAGAGAGAGGATGTTTGTTCATGATTTGAGATTAATCTTTTCGGTCTTATCCAAAAGCTTTTAGGTTAAAAGGTGATCTGGTGCTAACTACTTGAATTTTCGCCCGGATTTTAAGACAGTAAACAGGAGCTTGATAAGCTATTAATAATATTTATGAGCTGGAGGTGAAGCTATTTAAAAACGTGATGGACACCGTAAATGATTAAAAAAATACATCTTGAATTTTAACAATATACACATTTTTATAATTAAATAATGAAACCGCAAAATTCTTGATAGTTTAGAAGTTATTGTCGAATTAACATTTTTGCTATTTTTATCTTTTTCAGCGATTTTCTCAATAACTATTTATCGCAGAAATGTAATTATTTTTATAAGATGGGTAATTAAAAGTGGTTTCCAACGGTGCCAAATATAAGACAGTTATCAAAAATAATTTCAAAGTTATTAGCCGATATCCACTCTATTGAAAATCGCTGAAAACTTTGACCAAAATCGAAAAAATTGAAATCTTCAAAATTCAACCAAATGCACTTCTAAGGTCTAATGTCTAAGAGGCTTAGAAAAGTGCAAAAATTTTGTAAAACACTTAGAAATGTGTACAAAACGTTATAAGGTTTAGTTTAAAAAATGTCAATTTTTTTGATCGTGAAAATACAGCGCTGAACCTGATGCAACAAGTTAAAATACTCTACGATGTATAGTTTTTGAGATATTGAGTAATAAAGTTAAGAATAAGGCTAGAACAAAAAAAAATTTGATTTTAAAAAAAATTAGTACTGTATGTAAAATTGACCACAGAACACCTCTGTATAAACCGTTTTGACCTTGAACTCATAGTTTTTGAGAAATTATTTTTTTATAAAAAAATTAAAAATTACTGTACAGGATGCTGATGCATTTTGGATGTCCGAATAGGGAATCTCCGAAACTAAGAGGTTTAGCCAAAAACGAGTGATACATTCTGGAGCTCATTTTTTGAGAAAACAATATTGGTTAAAACCGCATCCCGCTATCGTCTTTTGTTTTCGACTTATAGACAAAAATTGACATTTTAGCGAAATCTAAAAAAATTCATATCTTCGTTATTATAGTATTCACAGATTTGAAATAAAGACATTATACAGGCACTTTTTTACGTAGAATTTAATAATGTAGTTAACAATTTTTTTCAGTTGTTTGTTTAGCCGTAATAAAATAAACTTGTATTTTTTTAAATGGGAATCATAGATGGCGATGTCATTTTTAAAAAGCTTGTTTTTTTCTTATCTAAAAAATATATATTTGTAACAAATTATTATAATACATTTTTAGCAAAAAATTATCTTTGATTTTTGTTCGCAGTTGGCCATGAAAAAATGTAGCATCTTCAACTAAAAGGATTTGAACTATATTATATTCAACCAGTGTCACTAATGAAAGAGTTTTCTAAGTACTAAGTAATGAAAAAAATGCAAAATAAATTGTAAATCAACTTATTGGCGACTAATAACATTTCTTTGTTTTTAAACAAGCATTACCATTGCAACTTCTAGTGATACATAGTGTTGTAAAAAAAGCCGCTTTAGTTCTTCAATAAAATATATTTTATATGACACAAAAATGACGATATGGCTATTCAAATACCCAAATTCCGTCGATGTGAAACGTTATCCTACTTCCATTAGATCATCAAAAAAAATGTTTTTTCTAATTGTGTTGACTGTTGACACATTTGTTTTTCCTATTTTTGGATTATTTAAAATATGTAATAATTTTGTTCTGAGGCGCTCGCATATTTGTTCAATGCTTCTACCGTATCGTATTTTTTAAATCTTTATAATTTTATCTATTTTTTCATCTATTTTACAGTTCACAAAACTCTTATTGATTATTATTTACACATTTGGAGTGAAATAGTTTTTCCATGGCCAACTATTATAAAACAAAATATGTATTTCACTTTTTAAGTATAGTTATAAAAAAATATTCTGTTACAAATATATATTTTTTAGATCAGAAAAAATAAGCTTTTCAAAATTGCCATAGCCGCCTATGATTTCCATTTAAAAAAATATAAGTTTATCTTATTACGGCTAAACTAATAACTGAAAAAAATTGTTAACTACATTATTAAATTCCTCGTAAAAAAGTGCCTGTATAATGTCTTTTTTTCAAATCCGTATCTTCTATAATAACGAAGATATAATTTTTTTTAGATTTCGCCAAAATGTCAACTTTTGTCTGTAAGTCGAAAACAAAAGACGATAGCGGGATGCGGTTTTAACCAATATTATTTTCTCAAAAAATGAGTCCCAGAATGTATCACTCGTTTTTGGCTAAACATCTTAGTTTCGGAGATTCTCTATTCGGACATTCAAAATGCAGCACCCTGTACATAGCTAGAACCATAACCCAGAGTGACTTCGGTTAGCACCATTAGATAGATAAGTTAAAGTTGATTTTAATGGCTTAAGTTTAAGTCTTATTGTTTCGTAAAAAAACGCATTTAAAATCTCAGAATTTTGTGTGTTAACAAATTTTTTCATTTTTTATTTTGTAAATTGCGGCGAAACAGTATCTCAATTATATAATATTTTGATGTAAGCCTATGTAAAATGTTCCGGGAAGTCGATTGGCGTCAAGAAAACTACAAAATTCATAATGGTTTTGAAGTTATAGTCGAATTTATAGTTTTGAAATTTTTAACTTTATCAGAAATGTCAAATGTATCAGTTGTATCGATAACTGTTTATCGTAGAACACTGATCTTTTTTGTACATGATAGAATTAAATTTTCTCTTCAAGGGTACCAAACATAAAAGGTTGCTACCAATAAGTACGGAATTATTCGCAATAGACCGCTCCGGCTGCAAAAAACGACCAAAATCTAAACAAAAATCAAACAACAAGTTAAAATACTCTACGATGCATAGTTTTTGAGATATTGAGTAATAAAGTTAAGAATAAGGCTAAAAGTAAAAGCACTATATCCGATTTTGACCAAAAATCAACATTTTTTGATTCTTATGAAAAACTAGTACTATATGTAAAGTTAACCGCAGAATACAAATGTAACAAATGTTAACAGGTTTTTACTTTTTTTTCAAAATTGTCCATTTGCACTCTTAGGGGTTCAAAAGACTTAAAAAAACGTTGTAAAAATGCGAAAAATAAATTTTTGAAAAATTTTGTGTAATTGTTGAATATATTGAATGAAAACATTGAATTCGTTGGCGGCGGTGGTGGCTCAGCGGCATAAGGTCCCGCTTTCCAGCAGGTAGGTCCCGAGTTCGAGCCCCGGTCAAGTCGGCAATTTTTCACAAATTCAAATTCAAATATAATTCAAATAAATGACAATAGATGGCGGGCGTATAAAAGCGCGAAGTTTAAAACAAGTTTCCACAAGAGTGAAAATAGTGTAAAAGTTAATAGTAGTAATAATATAAGTAAACAAAAGGTAAGTAGAAAGTAATATAAATGAAAGGTAAGTTTTGCATTAAAAATTAAAGAATTTTTTTAAATTAATTATTGTTATTATTACTAATAACACAAATGATTTACATGAGTGTGTTAGTGAAATAGATATAAGTAAACAAAAGGTAAGTAATATAAAGTATAATAAAGTAAAAGTAGTATGAAATGTATACAGGGTGTTAAAAAAGAAATATCTCAGGAGGTAGTAGTACGGACCAAAACAAACAAAAAAAATCTTAATAAACAAATGTGTTAACAAATTTTTACTTTTTTTTCTTTTGTAAATTGCGAAAAAACAGTATCTTAATGATATAATGTTTTGACATAGACATATGTAAAATGTTCCGGGAAATCGATTGGCGTCAAGAAAACTGCAAAATTCGTAGTAGTTTTGAAGTTATAATCGGATTAAAATTTTCGATATTTTTGACTTTATCAGAAATTTTTTCGATAAGTATTTATTCTAAAGCACTGATCTTTTTTATATATGATACAAAATTAAATTTTCTTTCCAACGATACCAAACACAAGAGGTTATCTCCAATAAGTACGGAGTTATTGCCAATAGACCGTTCCAGGTGCCAAAAATCGACCAAAATCTTGATAAAAATGAAAAAAACCTTCAACTTTAAAATTAATCTATTTAACGTTTTTGTAGAGGTCTTAAAGAGTCAAAAAAGTACGTAAAACGTTATTGGGGCCAGTTTAAAAAAATAAAAGATTTTTGAATTTTTGAAGGTGAGCGGTAGTAAAATGGAAAAAATTGTTAATTTACCATGTAAAAAGGCTTAGAATATGCCTTTCTCGACGTAAACTGAGATATTGAGTAATAAAGTTAAGAATAAGGCTAGAAGTATTTATAAGCACTATATCCGATTCTGACCAAAAAATAAAAAAAAATTGATTTTTATAAAAAAAAACTAGAGTTATATGTAAAATTAATCGGAAAATACAAACCGTTTTGACCCAGGAATCATAGTTTTTCAAATATGACATTTTTCATAAAAAAAACAAAAAAATTTTAATGGTGATAAACAGCTTCAGGTACCGAAAATCGCCTAAAATTTTGACAAAAATCGGAAAATTGCACTTTTAAAATTCCAAAAGTGCATAAAACATTGTAGTAACACGAAAAATAAAAGGTTCCAGTGTCAGGAGTCAGTGTTGCACTGCAAATCCTTCCAAATACCGTAATTTTTTATGTAGAATTTTTTTGAAACAGTTTTTAACAGTTTTTAAATCCATAACTGTGATGTTTAGACGAAAAGATAAAAACTGTAATCTCGACTGTAATAATAGTTATTCTGACATAAACTTAAAACACTGTAGGTGTAGTATTCTGTGTTTTTTCTGCCATCTGTGAAATAATAGCTAAAGTATCAATATTTTAAACTAACTACTCTTTGTTTTCGTTTTATTTAAAATTTATTAAAATTGTTAAATGACAACAATAAGGCACACTATAAA